CTACTTTGTTGGTATTAACACAGTTCAACAAATGTCCAATTATAATTTGTGATAGTCAGTGGTTTTATACATCACAAGGACTTTGAGATACAATGTACAAATGTGTTTAACAGCAATAAAACGGTATCGGTTTGCTTTGTGTATAAATGCGTTAAGTTAATATATTTTGTGTACTGAGTAAATATACTGTATCATATACAGTACTTGCAACCTTAGGCGTTACTGTTTGACGTGAACTTGACTGATCGGTGAATGATTGGTGACGAATGTTTGACTGATCGATGACTGATCGGTGATCGATGACACATAGAATCCGTCAGATACGTCAAATAAGCTATGTGAGAGTTACCGTGACAACGGTCAGCGATCGATCAGTAAATTAATTATATGCACGATCGGACGGGTACGTATATAATTAAAATTCTTATGTAAAACGAACTCCACGGTATTTACATGCGATAAACGCGGACCTCTACGAAGAAACCTTTACTCGTTAATTTATAATCAACTTGGTCGCTTGACATTGAAAATATAATACTTCCATGGTCGCAATAACACATAAAAAAAAACATATCAATTACTTTCACGCATTTTATGTATTACTTCATATTCTCTTTTTTTTTCTGCCAAATGAATTATATACGAGCAGAATAATGTCATGCTCAGAATGTTTCTGTACAACTAAATACTTTTTTGGTGGCCTTCGGCTGTTGTCTGCTCTATGGTCGGGTTGTTGTCTCTTTGACACATTCCCCATTTCCATTCTCAATTTTAAACAGCAATAAAATGTTATCATTCGAAATAAGTACCCTATTTAGCAATTATGCATTTTAATGTCACTAGATGATGAAAATAAAAAATAGTTAAACAGTAAAGATACTTAAAGTTTCGTTTGGGTTGATTGTGAATGCAATTATTTCTTTATTTTAATTGAAATCAGGAGCCGCCATTTGATTTTAGTACTTTTTGTACATCAAGATTGGTTGTTTTTCATAAAATATGCTAAATTTCTGTGAAAAGATAGTAAAATTTTGTTCGCATTGCTTATAATGCAAATATTTCTTCTTTTATATAAGAAATAATGCAACGTCAATTGCAATCATTCATTATAAATGTCTTTAGATAAGTAATTTTGTGTAAGATGTGAATAATATAAGGATAAAGATACTTTAACTGTTGTTTCATTTAAATAAAAATGCATTTATTTCTTTATTTTATGGAAATCATGAACCGTCATTGGAATTTAGTACTTTTTGTACATCAGGATGGGTGGTTTTTCACAAATAGTGATATATAGCAGAGAAAAGATATTAAAATTGTGTTCACATTGTTTAAATATGCCAATATTTCTTCTTTTTATCAAAAATAATGCACTATTGTTGTCAATCAGTTATTTTAAATGCCTTTGAATAATTTTCTTTTAAAAAATGTGAATAATTTAAAGATAAATATGCATACAATTTTGTTGTGTTGAATACAAATTAAATAATTTCTATATTTAAATAGCAATTATGAACCGCCATTTGATTTTAGTACATTTGTACATCAGGATTGGTTGTTTTTCAGAAAATTAGGCTGAATTTCAGGGAAAAGATACTAAATTTTTGTTCGCGTTCCTTAAAAATGCAAATACTTCTTCTTTTAATGTCAATTGCAATCAGTCATTATAAATGCCTTTTGATAAGTAATTTTGTATAAGATTTGAATAATTTAAGGATAAATATGCATAAACTTTTGTTTTTGTTGAATAAGAAAGCAATCATTTCTTCATTTTAATGGAACTTATTGACTACCATTGGATTTTTGTACTTTTTGTACATCATAATGGGTTGTTTTTTTACAAAATTAAAAGAATCTCAGATTAAAGATATTAAAATGTTTAAAATTACCAATATTTCTTCTTTTTATAAAAAATAATGCACTGTTATTTGTAATTAGTTATTATAAAGGCCTCAAGATAAGTTTTTTTTTATAGTATTTTAATATAATAAGGATTAAAATACTTAAACAATGTTTGTGTTGAATAATAATTCAGTAATTTCTTTATTTTGGTAGAAATTATGAACCGCTATTTGATTTCAGTACTTTTTGTATATCAGGAATGTTTTTTTTTTCATAAAATATGCTGAATTTCAGGGAAAAATTACTAATTTTTTGTTTGTGTTGCTTAAAAATGCAAATATTTCTTCTTTTATATCAGAAATCATGCAACTTCAAGTGCAATCAGTCATTCTGAATGCCTTTAGATAAGTAATTTTGTATCAAATGTGAACAATTTAAGGTTAAATATGCATAAACTTTTGTTTTTGTTCAATAAGAATGCAATCATTTCTTCATTTTAATGGAACTTATTGACTGCCATTGGATTTTTTACATCATAAAGGGTTGTTTTTCACAAAATTAAATGAATATCAGAGGAAAAATACTTAAATATTGTTCGCATTGTTTAAAATTACCAATATTTCTTCTTTTTATAAAAAATACAGCAATGTTATTTGTAATTAGTTACTTTCAAGGCCTCAAGAGAAGTTTTTTTCATAAGAATTTTAATATAATAAGGATACAAATACTTAAACTTTTTTTTGCGTTGAATAAGAATGCAATAAATTGTATATTTAAATAAATATTATAAACCGCCATTTGAATTCAGTACATTTGTACATCAGGATTGTTTGTTTTTCATAAAATATGCTGAATTTCAGGGAAAAGATACTAAATTTTTGTTCGTGTTGCCTAAAAATGCAAACATTTCTTCTTTTATATAAGAAATAATGCAACGTCAATTGCAATCAGTCATTATAAATGCCTTTAGCATGTTTAGATAAGTAATTTTTTATAAGATTTAAATAATTTAAGGATGAATATGCATAAACTTTTGTTTTTGTTGAATAAGAATGCAATAATTTCTTTATTTTAATGGAAATTATTGACTACCATTGGATTTTTGTACTTTTTGTAGTTCAGGATTGGTTGTTTTTCATACAATTAAAAGAATATCAGAGAAAATATACTAAAATGTTGTTCGCATTGTTTAAAATTACCAATTTTTTTTCTTTTGATAAAAAATATGCAATGTTATTTGTAACTAGTTATTTCAAAGGCCTCAAGATAAGATTATTTTATAAGAATTTTAAAAGTATAAGGAGATTAATACTTAAACTTTTGTTAACGTTTAATACGAATCCAATAATTTCTTTTTTTGATAGAAATTATGAACCGCCATTTGATTTCACTACTTTTTGTACATCAGGATTGGTTGTTTTTCATAAAATATGCTGAATTTCAGGGAAAAGATACTAAATTTTTGTTGGCGTTGATTAAAAATGCAAATATTTCTTCTTTTGTATCAGAAATAATGCAACGTCAATTGCAATCAGTCATTATAAATGCCTTTAGATAAGTAATTTTGTATAAAATGTGAATAATTAAAGGATAAATATGCATAAACTTTTGTTTTTGTTCAATAAGAATTTTAATATAATTAGGATAAAAATACTTTAAAATATTAAAAATAATACACCGAAATTTGCAATAAATGATCATTTCATTTCATTTTTCAGAGCATTTTCAGAAAATAAAGAATTAACAATCGCGATAAACACCCTTTTAGCACTCTTCGGGTTTGAAAAAAAAAAATAACGTAAATAAAATTGAAAATCACCATTCTTTTATAATAATATTTAAAAGTAGTTTTATCTGCGTATTCTCTTTTTATTAAATTCTCAAAACTTTGCTGAATAATTAATAAAAAAATGATGAGCTTGTGTACTTGAACGTTTCGTATTTTTTCTATGGCGCCATTTTGATTAAATGAAACGAAACTAAGATTCCGTAATTTGTATGAGTTCATCATGTGACGTAGTAGAGTTCAATCCGTCAGAAAGGTCAATCCGTCCGATCCGTCCGATCAGTCAAATATTTTTACTATAAGTCTGACGGATTGGTGACGAGAGTTTGACGCGAACTTGACTGATCGGTGACTGATCGATGACCGCTGATTGATCGCTAAAATAGTAACGCCTAAGGTTGCAAGTACTGTATGAGGCCTTATTTTAATTAAGAATAAATCAAAAGCACGGTATTCATTTGCTTTGTTTATACGATCGTTAATATAAGCTATTGTGTGCATTGAATAAATATACATTATATAGGACTATATATAAATATGTACAGTGAGTCTGAAAATGTACATTTACAATCGGAAATCTTTATTAACATGCTATGAAGTTCTTAGCAATTTTTCATATGCCAAACGTCTTAAAATACCTATTCACACCTGTAAAAACTACATGAAAAAGGTATATACATAAAGTGTTAAGTACATTCATATAAAATGTCCATTTACAAAATCAAATGTATTTGATCTAAACCAAGCCCGACTTAATGACTAATTTATCTCGTACAAAAGACTGGTCTCTCTCCGGATGTTAAATACTAAAAAGTATATGAAAATATGTTCCCATTTCACATTTAAAAATTTAGTTCAAACGATGGGCTTCGCAGTATTAGGGTTTATACTGGTGTGTGTATTACCTATAGTCAGTCTGATGTCATCGTCTCATGTTTTGCAGGTGCTTTTTAACAGATCCGACTGGCACTGTCCTGTGACGTGTGATTTGTTCATAAAAGAGTCAGAGATTGTCAATTGCTGCATTTGTAATGTGGAAGTAAAAGAAAAACAACGACGACATTGAATTTTGTGTATGATCCAGTTTAACAGGAGGCTTTTATAAACAAACCAAATTTACCGCACGAGTTTTACTAAAAAACTTCCTATCAATTTATGCAGTTTTACAGGTATTGTTGACATTAATCTCTCTTTTAACGAAATAACAAATATAGATACTATTTCATGTGTAAAAGGATTGGATACTCTAACAATGTATTGGAATGAAATAGAGTATTTGAAAAAAGATACGTTTTTTAGAATGAAGTTTCCTCGCTCTGTTGATCTCTCCTATAATATTTTGAAATATATTGAACCTGGAATTTTTATGAAAATGGTTGGCAGTCTGTTAAGGTTTGGTGCTAGACATAATTTACTGACAAGTATGGAAGTAACCAATATATTGTGGACAAAACAGCCTGCTTTTTGTAAAGTAGATTTTTCTTACAACCAAATATCGAAGATAACCAATGAACTGAGGTGGGAGTGCAAAGAGAATACACAGTTTGGATATGGTGGAAAAGTATACTTTAATAACAACAATTTCTCATTTTTCTTCGATTTTTCTGAGTTAGGATTCAAAAGTTCTTTCTATACGGAAAACTTTTTAGACTATTACTTTGATTTTCGGGAAAATAAATGGGCATGCGACCGTAGAATATATCGTTTTGCTCTTAAAGCTACGGCATTTCTGGAAAAACAGCACAGAACCATATATGACATAAAGTGTTATTCCCCACCTGAATTGAGAAATGTGTATCTACCTGAATTAATGAAGAATAAAGCTCTTGACCTTCTGATATGTAATCTATCAATTGCCGACAGATGTCCACCAAATTGTTGGTGTTTTTACCAGCCTGGTAAATCAAGGAATGTTGTGAATTGTTCCGGGACAGGAAGAACAAAGTTACCGTCTGCTCTGCCGTATAAAACAGATCTTAAAGTAGATTTTTCGAATAATCAAATATCAAGAATAGATAAGGAGAGTATAATACTTTCATACTTTCAAAACATAACAAGCATTGATTTATCGTACAACAACATTGAAATTCTTCCAGACGAACTCTTTTATAAATTGAGAAACGTAACAAAGATCAATTTTTCAGGGAATAAAATGAAGAAAATTTCACGTGCTCTGCAAGCTCTCAAACCTTGCCAGATATATTTTGGTTATATCGTTTTGCAGTGTGAATGTAAAGATACCTGGCTTCAACATTGGCTGCCACCTTCTCATAGTAAATGTTACAATAATACGAGAATATATTGCATTTACAACAATGAATTGGTTAATATTCTTAGCATGACCAATGCCGATCTAGGGTGTGCATTTTACAGTGAATATATATTATGGCTAGCCATCTCTTTGGCTGTGATCGCACTTATTATTGCTGTTTCGTCAACAATAGAATACTACTTCCGGTTCGAAACATTTATAATGACACGGAAATTGATTAAATACTTTAAAGCAACTAATGTTCCTCTCGAATTGTATTGCTATGATGTCTATATATCTTGCTGTGAAGATGATGATACTATACGCCATTGGTTGACGTCATCACTTGTTCCTTTCATTGAAGACGAAAATATCCGAGTATTTCTACCCTTCCGTGATAGCGAGTTTGGACGATCGCGAGAAGAAGAAATCATTGCAACGATGTCTAAAAGTCTCAATTTTGTAATTATTCTTAGTGAACATTATGACGATTACTCAGAAACTTGGATTGAGAAAGAAAGGAAATATGCTTGGTTTAACTATAAGTCGGATTTAAATCGAGAAATAGTGATTATTAATTACGATATGCTGAAATATAAAGATATAACAAAGAAATATCTAGGAGCATTTTTGAAACTTCATACTTTTATAGATTTCTCCAACCACACAAAACGCTTAAATGTAAAAGTATACCATAGCCTTCAACATGTTCCGAAAACAGTAACAAAGAAGAGTAAAACATTAAATGACATTAACGCTTTCAAAGCTAATTTCATCGAACTAGAAACGGCGATAGAGAGTAAAAGTAATCATGACCACCGTGCTAGTAAATGTTCAACATCGAAACTTTATTTGTGTGTACAAGTCTGTACGTTTTTAAACAGAACGAACTTGATGTAAATCACGAATGAGCAGTTTTCAAATGCTCTAACCGTATGAATGTCTTGAAAATATTCCAAATGTGATACATTTAAGACAAAGTAACTTGTGTAAACATATGGTATTGCGTATAGCTAAAAGAGTAAATAGATACGACATATACAATTTATTCAAATCATCGGATAAGAAATAAGAGCAGTGTTCATATATAAATCCATCTCTCTAAAAAAGACAACATATTTTAAGGAAAATGTTATATTTTTCAAGTGTATACAAAAAAGATAAAACTAAAATTGAAATCACAAATTTCAACTAAAGGTTGTCTTAATCAAACACTTCTAGTAAAGTGGTGTTGAAAAATCATTCAACATATTAAAGAAAATTAGGAATCGAAACGGGGAATGTGTTAAAGAGACAACAACCCGACCAAAGAGCAGAAAACAGCAGAAGGCCATCAATGGATATTCAATACAATCTCCAAAATATATAAATGAACTAAAATTAAAAATCATACATGACTATCAAAGGCCGGAGGCTCCTGACTTGGGACTGTCGCCAAAATGCGGCGGGGTTTAACATGTTTTTTATATCTTCACCCTCCCCCTATACATCTATAATTATAAAAAAGAAGATGTGGTGTGATTGCCAATGTGACAACTCTCTACAAGAGACCAAATGACGCAGAAATTAACAACTATAAGTCACCGTACGGCCTTCAACAATTAGCAAAACCCTTACCGCATAGTCATCTATAAATAGCCTTGAAATGACCAAATTAATGTAAAACATTTCAAACGAGAAAACTAACGGCCGAATTTATGTACAAAAAAAATGAACGAAAAACAAATATCTAACACACCAACAAACGACAACCACTGAATTACAGGCTCCTAACATGGGACAGGCACATACATACAGAATGTGGCGGGGTTGAACAAGTTTCATCTAGCCAATGTAGAAAAAGAAAACATACAGCAATACGCACAGTGAAATCAGTTTAAAAGAAGTTCGAGTCCGATGTCAGAATAGGTAACAAAAGAAACTAAACAAAATGACAATGATTCATAAATTAACAAAGGACAAGCAGTTACTGACATGCCTGCTTCAGACCTCAGTTAAACTGATTGGAAGATTATGCTTTCATAATATTAATATCAAGCACAATCCCTCCCGATAGCGGTTTAGTATCATATCATCATAAAATATATGAGCATAACATAACCCGTATCATGCAAACAATTGGTTTTAGAATAAATGTGTTTATTTCCGATGCAAAGACTCTATAATTAAATCAATATTAAAGCCAAAGTATGTCATATTGAATGAACTGACAACGGTATCGTAACTATATCCTTTCTTAATTAGTCTGTTCAATGGTTTTGTCAGCTTTTGAGGTGAATGCCGACATTTTTATGCTTTGTAAAGAATATTACTATGAAATACCTGAACATATAAGATGTCTACATGTTGATTTATATTTACGAATGATGTCCTTGTATCGATGAAAATTTTAGTAAATGTTTTGACTAGTTTGTGATTTCGAAAACCTTAGTGTTATAATTGTACAATAATATATAGATTTTTTTTGCTAACATCTAATACGTTGTTACATTTACGAGCGAATCGTACAAGTTGAGATATATAATCAGCATACGATGGTGACAAGGGAACGTCACCATCTAAAAATGGATACATAACAACAGGAGATGAAAAATCAACTATTTTATCATACATTTTGGTATTAAGCTTAATGATATAGATATCAAGATCCAGGAAAGGCAGTTTTTATTGTTACCATTAGCTTTATTCAAAGTTAGTTCTAGGCTACTTTAAAAGGTAACTGCTTTCTATAAACTGCTTTCTATTAGGTATGTAAACTGAATTAGATACTTATTTCAAATTGTTACGATAAATGATGTTGTTTTTGTATGGTCTATTATTAATGTAGATATCGTGTAGGAATGGACGGAAAAGTAAAAGAAATTATATAATTTGTATTGTTCTTATTTAGTTATATACTTGATAAGTCTGATATACTTTCCTTGTCTGAGTTTGTGCATGGTTAAATACTAAATAAAATCAAATAGATATAGGAAGATGTGGTATGAGTGCCAATAAGACAACTCTCCATCCAAGTAACAATTTATAAAAGTAAACCATTATAGGTCAAGGTACGGCCTTCAACACGGAGCCTTGGCTCACATCGAACAGCAAGCTATAAAGGGCCCTAAAAATTACTAGTGTAAAACCATTCGAACGGGAAAACCAATGGTCTAATCTATATAAAAACGAGAAACGAGAAACACGTATGAACTACATAAACAGACGACAACTACTGTACATCAGATTCCTGACTTAGGACAGGTGTAAACATTTGCAGCGGGATTAAACGTTTTAATGGTACCAAACCTTCTCCCTTTTCTGAAACAACAGTATAACATCACAACATAGAAAAACATACTATAAAATATCAATTGAAAGGCTTAACTCAATCAAAAAACGCAAATTAACACACAATGAACGAATAAATTTGATCTGTGATACCCGAATGCAAAATACATAGTTAATAAAAATTATAAGGGACAAATAATTAAGGTCAAAAGTAAATAAACAGGTTTAAACAAAGTTAAAGTATGATATCACTGTGAAATGTTCAACAAATTTTAGAAAATCATCACTTTTGAAAAAAACTGCGTCATATTATACACAGGTAAATGAAAATAATGTTGTTGTTAAGTATACTTATTCTTCTGTGTGTATAAAATCTTCCGTTTAGGAATACCATGAAATTTCTTTAATATAAATAAAACTAATCTAACACTTGGTACATATGGGGTGAATATCAACAATAAAACTATACAATTAGTGCTAGATAAAACTTCCTGTACAGGTGCAAGAACAATATTTAAGGAGAAATGAAATAATTTTGATGTTCATAGTACGAAGAAGTGAAAATTTGTAGTAATTCCAAATAATCAAAGCTGGTATATGGACAAGATCCATGTTAACAATAAATAACAAAAAAGCATTACAAATAGTATCAACAGGTCAAATTAACAAGAAAGTACGATTTGAGAGTACTCGCAGTTACTGACAGCTAGTTAAAAGCCAAAACAATTAATAATAAAAAATCATGCATCAGTGACTAAATGTCCTCTTGTGTTTTTTAAACCTTTTACATTGAGCTTTTTGGGTATATTGTTTTGTTTTATTTGTTCTTGTCGGCTACTTTCTTACCAAGCTTGTATTATTTTATTAAGATTATTTACGAAATTTATTTTCATTACCTACATTTAAATTACGTAGTTTGAGGTTTCGAATATGAAAAATAGAAGATTTGTGAACATAGCTCGCAAGTGAATTGATACACCAACTTGTCATCGCTTCGAAGGTTGAGAACATAATTTTTTTTGGAAACTCTGAAAATCATACTAAAATAAAGAAAAAAAGATAATACAATGTGAGCAAAACCTACTTCTGTATACCCCCTGTTTCCTCCATTTGAGTAATGTGGTCATCTTGGAGATGTTTCTGATATATATATCTCATTTTTCCTGATTTAGGATGTTTTAGTTTGGATTGTAATAATCATAATGTGAAATAGCAAAATCCATGTTGATGACTGGGAAACCTAAACAATCATTCTGTTCAAAAGGTAAAATTATACGATGGCATAATGTTGTGGAGAATCTGCAAGCGTTCGATTGACAGTCATCAACTAGTTCAGGAGGAGCTGGGAATTGGAATGGTCACTTTCTTGATATGTCGGGGTAAATTCCGTCCTTTTGTTTAAGAAACTCCATAAATTATTCGGATCGAAAAGTAAATTTAGAGATGCACCATGACATTATGTAATAAACAATCCATTAAATTGTTATTAAAATGCAGTCACCGGTGAAGGAGAAGTTTTGGATGTGAGATGTTCATTCCTATACCATTTAATTGAAAAGTCCATGTTTTGGTCAGATGAAGCCCCTGAATTTATTCTTAACAAATGTAAAATTAGAGAGGCACTAATACATTACGTAATAAAGATGATGTGAAAGTTTCGTTGAGATTCATTCTTTAGTTTAGTAGAATTTTAGTAGAAATTGTCTCCGAATAGATGGACGGACAGACACCAAATCACTATTTACTCCCACTTCATTAAGTGGGGTACAATAAGGATATGCGGTATGGCTATTTATGAGACCATTAAAACATTTTTGACACAAGGAAATGCCTGTACCAAGTCAGGAAAAGTGCAGATATATCACAATAGTGATGAAGTGGCGTTAAATACAAATAGATCAATCAATCAATCAAACTTTGCATATGAGAAAATAATTACACTAGAAAAAAACGTAATGTGAGAGTAAACTTTCCGAATCTTACTTCGACTTCACTATACTTATTTTTAAACACTCAGACACATACAAAATATGTAACCAGAAGCAAAATACATAATCATATTGATGGTTGCTACAGAATAATGTTGACATAATTATGAGTGAAATTACAATATTTTAACTAACTTTCAAATTACTAATATGCTTATTTCTTATGTTTTAACCATAACAGATAGGCACTCAAATAGATAGTGAAATTCATTTCAATGAGAGTACAAATGTACTTATTCTTGTTATTCCAGATTTTATTGTGTTATACTCGGTCTAACATAACCCTTAAGTTGATCGATTTTGTTAAACTGTGTCATTAATCCTATGAAAACATAGACACATGTGTATTATGTGTGCTCCTAACATAGACAAATATGTATTATGCATGCCCCTAACTTGAAACAAGAATCACCATGTCGTATCAAATTGAATAAAGGAAACAGCTTTGAAAAAGAAAAGTGTGTTTATACAACGTTTATTTTTTCCTCGTGTTAACAATAAGATATGTGTTTTATTTAAATAAGGAATAAGAAATAATTTTGAATTTCTGCCAGCTAACAGCATACAATATTGAAATCATGAATTGATCTATGTTATTTTTTCTTTGTGTTGAAATAAGATATGTGTTTGATTTAAACAAGGTAGAAGGAATGACTTTAAATTTCTTGCAGTTAGCAGCATACAGAATTTAGGTAATGTTCATTTATTGGAAAATGTCATAACTGTGCATTCCATTTTTGATTGTGATATTATATTGTAATGGTTTTTTCAGTGACTCTTTAGACGAACAACTTGGATTGATGTTCAATAGATCGGATTTACCTTGTGCTAAAGAATGTGAAACCCAAGATTTTCTC